GGGGATGCGCACGGGCGACTTACAGAACTTCAACTACTGGCAATTGCGTTAAGTACTGCTGAAGCACGAAAATTACTGGGGAGACCGTAGCGACCCGTCTGGTTTAGCGACCCCTCAGCCGGCTTGTCACAGGGGTTTCGTTAAACCCGCCCCGCACTGTATCAATATATCAATCTATCAATCTGCACTGCGAATCCCTGCAGGGGATCCTACGGTGGACGACGTGGTGGATGGCTCGAGCCTGCCGGCGTCCGCCTGCTCCTGCGGCGGCCAGGGAGAGTGCGACGCCGTGACGTCAGGCAGCGTCGAGATGACGTCTGTGGGGGCGCCTGCCACCATCGACATCGACGGCAACCTGTCGCCGCTCCCGTTCGAGTCCCTCAGAGACGCGCCTGACAGCCAGCTGCATTGCTTCCAGGGTGAGCAAAAAGCTGGTCAATCAATCGGTGCATCAATCAAGCGATAGATAATCAAACGGTATATCAGCCGATCAATCTGCCATTACTTAATTGACTAAATAACTAATTCATTCATTCATTCATTCATTCACTCTGTTAGTCAGACTGTGAGTCAATTGACTAGTCATTGCGCTATAAACCATAGGGGTGTCGGAAATCGGCAATTTCACATGAACTCGCCAGGAACAATCATGCCAGGAATATTCGGGAAGTGAGTCATGCAAATTGGATTGCGCTGATGTGATATGGCTGTCCTGAAAGTGTCGCCATGGTGCGGGCATATTTTCTCGCAGTGTGAGGAATTGTTAGATTCTAATTTTGAGCCAGTCAAGCAGCTTCAGACGTAGGAAATGGCCATAGATCTTCCGCAATCACTTGCACCACAAATGCCACCGTCAACCGAGCAACACTGTGGCGCAATCAAAAATCGGTAAATGAAAAAAATATTGTTTGTTGTTTCTGAGTGGTTTGAGCCTACCGCGGACGCCTAATTTGGAAGGTGGTTGCCAACAAATGACCAATGGTGCACGGGGAAGATGGGCCGGCGGAATACTCAAATACCCGATCTGAAGACAAAATGAAGTTATTCAAAAGTAAAATACCATTGCTGTGCAGCTGTAGATAGCTGCAAATAGCTGCCGATAGATAACTGAAAAAAGCTGCAGATAGCTGCAAAATGGCACACTCTTAATACTTTCTTTTAAAATGCACTGAGACTGAATTCCTGTCCCGCAAGGTGGCATTGGAGACGTGTCGGACGCCCTGCGCATCTACATAGCGGCGCAGGACGACCTGCCGACCCACAAGGGCCTGGACGACAAATGCGCCCCTCTCGGCGCTCAGGAGGCCGCCATCTCATCCGGAGCCTGTTTCCTTCACGGTGTCGTGCGGTGCGACCAAGCAGTGCTGGAAAACAACGCGGACACCGTCAACCGCCAGACGGGGAGCTTCTACTTGTGGGACGAAAGATCTACAAGTGAGCACGTGCCGTCTGCGCTAATAGGACAATGTTGCGTCAACTTGCTGCATAGTATTGTAGTTTGCATTGCATCGCATTTGTTGTTGTCGAAATTGCTCACACATTTTGGTTCATCTGGAAACAGTGGGCCCAATATTTGAATTGAAACCACATGACCGGTACCACCTAAATGCTCTGCATTGTAGTTCTCCATGCTCGGTATTCAACTCCAGTCCTCTGCGCCTCCAATTACCAAGACCACCTGGCACCAGAATTATTCATTTAGCAAGCCATTCACTGTAGCGTCCGCGACTTCACCAGGTTGGCCGACCCAACCGCAGATCCAAATCAACCGAAACGAACACTTCTCTTCCCGGGTGCTCTAAACCGCCCATCCACCTTTTTCACCTTCCCAAATAAATCGCAAAAGTAAATAAATCACACAAAAAATCCATCTCTCTGCCATTTCGAGTCGCCCCACAGCCAACACTCTTTCCGAAGAATGGACCGTTCATATACCTTCACGCACTTGTCCTCGGACCGCTTGTTCTCCAAAGAGTTTTAGCTGCCCGGGCCATTTTCCGCCCCGCGTGTCCAGGATCCTCCCGCGGCATTCAGGTGCGAGCCCCGCTCGACTCCCAGCCGCCCCCCGCCTTCACCCTGCTGGAATTCCCGGAGGCCGGCCGGACGGCGTCCTCGTTTCCCATGCGGTTCCAGATCGACCGCCAGGGCCTGGTGGTGTACTCCGTGGCCAGCATATCCGCGGACATAGAGGGTCTGCTGGTCGGGGGCCAGGGGGCCCTGCAGACGAGGGAGATCGGCAACGGCAGACTGCCCGTCTTCAACACCAGCGAGCTGAACACCGTCACCGTCTCGGCCTGTGCGCCACAGGTGTGCGTCGCCCGCGGGAGATTGAGCAGAAAAACACGCAGTCAGCGCATGCCATTCTTACAATTGTCATGGTTGTTGTTGTTATTAGTACTGCCATTGTTATTGTTAATATCGCTGTTATTTTGTTTCTATTAGTGTAGCGAGTTCCTATTATTGACATTATACTATTAGAACTCATGTCGTTGCCATTTTGTCATTAGCGTCAGTCTTCTAGTTTCCTGACCTACATCGCCGATGGGCGTCCACCGCCCGTGCTTTTGGCTGTCTTCCCTCGCAGGCATTTTCAACGCTGTGGAACTCCACCTCTGTCACCTGCGCTAGAGCTCTGTGGCGAAGCGGTCTGCCAAAAAAACGCTTACGCATTCGCGCAGCGATGTCAATTCTTGCGGTCACGCGGAGCGACGATTTTAGGCACACATTAGTGCAAGATTTCGCACAGCAGTGGTGTTTTGCCCGGCACCAATGCCCCTTAGAGGTTGTCACTGGCCGTCCGAATTCGCTCGCCACAAGCGCCAAATCCAAAACCATGTCGGTCTGCATTCGTACCGCAGGTGTTGGGCGCGGGCGAGAAGTACTTGGTCATCGTGGTGGCGAGGGACAAGAACGGCCAGACGCAGGGGGAGGTGCAAAAGGAGCTCGTGCAGACGTCGGAATGAAGGGCCGGGGCGTGGGGGGTGGGGTTCGGGAGCAAGTTCACGTCCAGTGCGATGATTTACATGCGCTTGTTAGGTTATTATTACAGCGCTTGTGCGGGAATACACGTGATACAGAGTTTGCGGCAAAGTGTCAGTACCGCAGCGCATGGAAATACTGCTTGCGTTGAAGGAGATGGTGGTAATTCTGGTACATTGTTCTTTGGGGAGGAGGTAGCGGGGATTGAAATTGGGAAATTGGGCGGGCGCCATGCCGTCGAGCGCCGAACGGCGGACGTCAGACTTGGGCGGGGGGGTTGGAGGGGTGGGTGGGTGGCCGGGGTCGCTGCAACCAACTGTTGCGGAGCTTGAGTTCTGGGGGGGCACGAGGGTTGAATAAAATGGCGAGGATTCTTGAGAGTGGGATTGTGCAGATGAGCAAGATAAATTATGACGGGGTCGCTGTGAGAATGAAGCGCAAAGCTCAACTGCTGGGAAGCATCGTCGATCATGACTACAACATCGCAAAATGGACAGGCGGGGGATTGAAAATGTTGGCATTGACCGGAATTGAATCAAGTGTGGCCGCTTGGGGATTGATTCGCCAGGAGATGTCGTTCATTTGTGCCTGTGGTGGAACTGCAAGAGCACAACTGTAAATATAGAGTTCGAGGGTGTGGCAGAAGACAAGCTCTCGAAGCATGTGTTATTAACTGGGAGGATGTGAAATCGGCTTCGTGCACAGCAGAATCCAATGGCACGGCGAATGCTGCCTATTGCTCCGAATTGCGTCCAGATCAGAACCCAAGCATCAGCAGTGGCACCCGTTGCTGGCTGTGTGCCAGTTAAATGACAGTTGTGAAGGGTGGTCTGAGGGAACCGGTCACACCATCTGCAATCCATCCCAAATTTTGATCAACTACCGCTCTGTTCTTGACACTTTGCGTCTCCTGTAGGAACTGGCTGTGGGAGAGGTACAAATACGATGCCTCATCGATTCACTTCCCCAACTGGCCCTTTGAAAGACGACAAGAGGCAACGTGAACCAGAATCCGGGTGTCAGCTCATGTCTGCGTCCATGCCACAACACTAGGGAAAAAAGGGCCAAATAACAAGTGTTCGTACGTGTATGAAGTTTACGGGTTTGTGTTATTCTTGTGTTCTCAGTGTGCAGAGCTTTGATGAAATGTGTTTTATGTGTGTTCGCAAAAGTGTAATAATAAGAATAAAAAATAAAAAATAATAGTTATAAATAATTTCTTTTATTAGGCCCTTTTTTTCCTAGTGCAATGCACCACCCACAAGTCAAGCACCTTCCGCCTCGCGGGTGTCATGACCATGGGGCAGATGGGAGCAGAGAGTCTCACACCCATCAGTTTGCTTTACTGCTGTGCGCACAAATACACACAGGCATACATGCGTAGAACATATACTGCACATAGGCGTGCCGTGGGAAAGACTATTGCAGACACGACGGGGTTCCGCATGACAGGACACTGTGCTTCCCACAACAGCGTGCCATTTAGTGCGTAGCGATGCTGGGACAGGCCACACAGGCAGCACTGAATGGAACTGACGCTCCCCAAATTCTTCACATTTCGAAGCAAGAGAATGTCAAGAAGCGCTTATACATATTGGGCTCCCCAGTGCAAAGACAAGACCCACACAGTAAAGAGCTACTTTTAAAGCTAAGACTTTTGTCAGTCCCCAAAGCCGTGCAGCTTAAGTCACCATATGACATGCACAGCACATCAGCGCACACTGTCGACCACCAATACCCTCAAAACGAAATATCGACCAAATCTCATCCCTCCCTGCCCCCAAACAGTTTAAGAGTCTTCTCACAGTTGCAATTGGTCCTTCCCTGGAAGCGTCCTGGTGCCCATCCAGCAGAAACGTTTCCCAACTTTGGGCGCATCATACTCTTGACCTATTTATGGCATTAACCTGCTGCCATACTATTGATCTACTATCTACTCTGCCTTATAGTCCACTCCACTGAACTACCAACTATTCCCAGTCCCCAGAGGTGAGGCATCCGCAGGCAGACAAACTTCACCACTATTTAGGCATTTGCAGATGCAGCCCCAGAATTCTCGTTTGTTTGATGGCAGGCACCAGCGGCCTTGCTGCCTGCAAGCATCTGAGAGGTAAGACCGCCAAGTTGGCAAAGGGACAGGGTTGGTTGCAGGCAACAGCACTCCTTGCTGGCAGTACTGGTGGGAAAATAGGGATGTGGTCATTGTAGATCACTGTGCAGCCCTGACGATCCCACGATGCCACAATGATATCCACCAGTTGAAGCCCATCGTTGCGGAGAATCTGTGCTTTGATGTTAGCTAGAGACCACCAGCCCAAAACAAAGGCCAAGATCAATATGTTGACACAGTGAGCTCCCTGGCACAACATCAGGCCAGCTGGTGCTGCTGCTTTGAATGCTCTCACTGTGGGGCCATGTGGGGCAATGGAAAACGGCCTGCGGTGACATGCAACCTTCCACATCAAACCCAAATCCAATGAGCCATTGCCTCCCTCCAGCGAGAATTACCAACCCAGCCCATCACCAGGTTGGCCAGTCAAACAGCTGTCTGACAAAGGTGGTTTCATGCGGTGAGCTGCTGTATTGCCAGTGGCTGGGCATCAGGAGGCCTGCAACACCAATATACAGGCACTGGGCCTTGTTAAGTGATTTTATATCTAGAGCAGGGAGAAACAGGCAACAATCAACGGGTCAGGTTCTTACAAGGTTCTGGCGTGAAGCATAGCTACTGCTGGCATTTGAACTATTGGTGCACAAGAGACTGTCATTGCAGCTGAAAGACAAATGTCCTGCCATGGAATACTCCCATATAAACAAATTTTTGTGGGACGCTTTCGACCTTCCACGCTGCAGAATGATAAGTTTCCAAATACAACAGGAACGGGCCGCAAGAGGCTATTCCTGTTTAATGCCTGGGAAAAAGAAATGCAGACAAACTTGTGTCGCTGACAGCACAGCGACATCGGAGAGGTGAATGCGATGCCGGTGGTTACGCTGAGGTGCCCACCTGCTTTTTCTTTGAGCAAGATGTCCTGAACGCCTCCACCTCTGCAGCACACTGTGAGCAAAACAATCCCCAGCATCAGGGTATTACAAACTGTGGGAACCGAACCTGCACAGCACAAGAAGGCGAACTTGGCATGGTGTCTTCTTGTCTGTGCTATGCCCCTCTGCATGCCATTCCCGTTGTGCATGGAGATTTCTGCATAATATTCTATTGTATGAAAGCTGTCCTGCTACACAGAACTCTGGATCAGGGGGAGGAATCATCATCACAGGAAAAAGAACTTTGTCATGAAATCGGCACCCCTTTCTAGAGCAACAGATGTTGAGCTGCACTGAGACAGACGTTGCAGAAGTCTCTGATCAAAGGCTGAGAAACACACAAGACTGTACAAGAAATGCAGCAAAATAATGTCCATGCAGAGGACCTGCATGGCAACAGGTTTGACTCTAGCCCAGGAGGGGTCCCATTGACATAATGAGTCTCCATTCTGTGAAAAAGATAACCTTCAGCAAAGTCTACTGCCAGTGCCACTGACACAGATGCAAAGGGCGTCGCCACACCTTATTGTAGTCACCGCCCGTCCTCTTCAAGCACTCCTCCAGTTTTGCGACGTCGCACGGGGAAGGGGGGTTGGGCGTTTGGACCTGCTGTGAAAATGTTCAACGCTTGGAATATCACTGCACTCCAACAGTACACAACAAACACATATGCATGCCAGGACACCTGGCCACAGTGCTAGAACCGGCCCCAGTTATTGCAGTTTGCAGATGGGAAGAGGACGTGGGACATGAAATGGGCGTCGCCTGAGCAGGAGTGTCTGAGGCTCTCCCCCAAAATAAAAGGGGCGGGGGGTTACAGATGCCAGACAAGAAGCGTGCAGCGACGAACGTCGTTTGGCAAGAGGACACACTTGTGCATGAACCAAGCATCAGAATGAGAACAGCATCCAACAAGACTCTTCTGGGAACGTTTTTGCTTGGGAGATCACATACCCATGGCTGGGAGATGAAGCGTTCTTTTCCATTTCTCTCTTCGGGTTTGTTGCCCAATTGCGTTCAGGCAACTGCAGATCTTAAGCAATTCATAGAAGCTGACCAACAGAACTCAAGCACCTTCTGGTTTCCACCGTTTCCCATCGTTCCACTGGACAAATGCAACCAAACGACTTGCGAACGGCGCTTGGGCGCATACCCAATAGAATTCGGTTGTAATACAGGATTCAAGTCAATCCGCCGCGGACGGCCAGCGCCCAACGGTAACAATCCTTCCGCGCGTGCAAGTTGTTAATCAGCCAGGGACAGCCGATGGCATCGCAGCGGCCGTGCGAATCCTTCACCACAATTGGCTAAAGCGGTAAGAGCACAGCCCTTGCCCTTGCGCGGCGACTTCAGGCATATTTACGTCCGCAAGTTGTCCAGAGTGGGTTCGCCAAGTACGCCAGAGCTCGAATTAAATAAAATGCAAACCATGCGGGAGGTCGGATGTGCTCCCCCAAGACAACAGAACTGCGCCATGACGGCAGATGGACGGGACGTATTCATTTCAGGCCAGCGGCGGCTCTGCGAGCGCTGCGGAGCGAGTTGGAAGCGGTGGGTTTCGGACCTTGGGACTCTGGCCGTCCATGTCCGGGACCGCCCGTAGCGGCAGGCACTCGCGGGGGTCTCCAAGGTGGATTGCTGCCGATGGCAGCTGATCCCCTGCCTAGCTGAGGCAAACGTAGCCGCCAGGGGCAAAGCAGCTCCACGAGGGGACTGGCGAGGTGTACAAATGTGGCGCGCTGTTCGCTCGCGAGCAGCCCGTGTGGGTCCAACCTCTGCCCAACTCCCAAATATGTACGGTATATAGCGTATGTACGGTATATGGGATGCATGACGCGTGCACTTCCTCTGCCCCATATTAATTGTCCTCCATTTGAAAGGCAAATTTCGTTGCAAGAACAGCCTCAACATTGCAAAAGAATGTCAGAATGGGAAAGATTGGGTCCCCTTGAACAACCACTTTTCTAGAAGGAGAAATGAGGCGCGACCCCTTTAAGCATTGTGTGAAGGAGGAAAATTTTGGTGGTTTTTGAGCAAAAAATTAGAAGCTTACCAGGCAAAGAACCCTTGCCGCAAAAATCTCTGCAAAATCCACAATACCTAACGGATTGACTTGATTTTTTGATAACATGCTCCAAACTCACAAGCAAAGCTCCGGACGAAACTTCATTGAAAGGGAAGTCGCATGGTGGAGAAGCAATGCGCCAGAATCTGGAGGACATTTAATATGTGACCTAGGAAGTACGATGTATCGGAGCGTATCGCCACGGCGCTCCGATCCTGCCACGCTGTCCCGCGACAGAATCCCCGTCACTGGACGGGGTCCCTCGCGCCCCTCGATTCGCAAGCGGAAAACACACGCACCCCCAAAAGGCTTGGCCTCCCGTCCAGGCAAAATATGACCCCTGCCGTCCCGCCTGGCGCCGGCCGCTGCCCCAACCGACTCTTGCGCCACGGCGCAGTCCCAAGCCCAACATCCGACCGCCCCGGTCCCACCCGCGCATCCCGCCCGCCGCCCCGGGGGCCCCCGACGCACCGATTCGGATCCGCCGTCCACCTCCGCGAAGCGCCCCGCCCGCCCCCCCCTCCGGGCTCGATCGCCTCCAAGGGGACCTGGACGGCTGCAGATGGCGCCGAGCCCCGCGATTGTTCTCGGCCGCGCGCCTTGGGCGACCGGCCGGCCGCGACTGAGGTGATGAAGATTGGTCGCGGCGGGCGGGAGCCATGGCGTTCCGCATTTTGATGTTCCGATGCTTTGGCGTGATCGGCCCGCGGGGGCGGGCTGACGCTGGGAGGGCCGTGCTTCGCTTGTTGCGGATTCAGGGCGGGATGCGGAGCGCACGGCGCGAGCTTGCGCGGCTCGGCGAGGGCGGGGAGCTGCCGGAGGAGTGGCGCGGGGGGAGGCGTATTGGGGCCCGGGCGGCTCCAGACAGGTGGGCGGGGTGTTTGCCGGGACACACGGGTTTTGTATGGGCTCGATGCGGCGGAAGAGCACGTCTTAATTCGCCCGTTGCGCGCCATGTTGCGGATTCCTGCCTTTCCGGATTGATGGGCGCAGGGGGGCACGGGTGCAGTGATCTGACTTTGCCGTTCGCCGGCGGGTATCTTGGACTCAGCCCCTTCTCCGCTGGGCAATGCTGCATCGCGGCAGGAGTACATGTGCTGGCCCCGTCCAAGGAGAAGAGGCCCGCTCAGAGAAGCGCATGTGCAAGAGCCCTGAGACGGGTTGAATCCGCCATTGTTTCGAACACTGCAGGAAGAAGGGAGGCGCTGTTCGAAGATGGCCGCGCCGATCCCTTATTGGGGCTAATTTTGACTGAAATGCCACTTTTAGCTGCAAGCAGTCGGTGCCAGTGATGTTTGTGCATCGAATTGGCCACCATGCCGCCCATCCAGGCGCATACAGCGGGGGTACCTATATAGCGCCCACCCGGCAACATGGCCAAAAACGGGGCTCTATTTGGGGCTGGGCGCTAAGAAATTAATATGTTTAGTGCTTCTGGTCATGATTAAGCCCGTTAAATGAGGCTTCTCATCGCTTTTTACACAGTTGAAGACCTACTGGTCGTGATACGACTGGTTTATATGCGAAATTGGTCCACCACACTTGCACATCCTCTCCCATAAAGGCATGGCACTGGGGCACTGTGTTAGAGGCGCGCTTTGCAGTGACACATTCAGTTCTTTTTGCGCCTTCAAATGATTTTCCAATAATTTGCAAAAGTGCAAGGAAATGAACGTACCAATCTCATGCAAACCTCTAAACACAGTGTCTGTCACAATCCATCAAATTGACTTGCACATAGATTTGCACTGTAGTGCCCACATCATGAATGCTGAATGCGTTCTGGTGGACAGTACCACAATAATAAATGGCTTTATGATTGCGTGGCATCTCTTGATGGGGGCGTCAAATGGCAATGTGGCGGTGTGCTGGTAGCGCTGAAGTGATAATGCTTCACCAATGTTCCTGATTATGTCACTGCCGGGTTCCAGTTTTTATCACAAGAGAAAGTTTTGTGTAGTCTCTCAATCCCAAAGTATGTTACGAATCTCGTTGCATATTACAAACTTGAAGTCTCACTGTAAAATGTGCATGCACGTTGCATGGTGGAAGTTTTTGTGTGGCACCACCGGTGATCTGATTGTTGCCATCAGTACCTCACACAGTGGTTGGTTCTGTTTCATAACTCTGTGCACAACCAATGAACGTTGCAGGTCTATGGGAAACCTCTTTTTGTTGGCTTTCAAATTTTCAATATACTGTTTTGAGGTCCTTTTTCGCAGCAGAGCTGCATAATGTAGGACAGAAATGGTGCCAAGCCAAAAAACGGGGTGCTATTGGGGGGGGCGGGCTCTATTGAGGGGGCGCTATATAGGTTCCCCACTGTATTGCCTTTCCAACAGCAGGCAACAACATGTCACACAAACACAGGAAAGGAATAAACCTATAACGAGCTTACCATCCAGACCAATAGATTTGTGAAATTCTTCTCATCCAGGGGTTCTTCGCATCCCCAGCCATGGCCCCACAAGGGACACTCCCTCGCCCACCACTATCCTCCACTCGATCGTTGCCGACCATGAATGCCCCATCCCGGGTCTCGAACCCAACCCAGAGCCCATCCTGGCAACTCTGCAACGGCAGATGAAGCAGTTCTTCGCCCTGTGGGGCACCTTCCTGCCCATGTGCACCCTCTTCTTCTTCATGGCCTTCATCAACACCATCATGGACAGCCTGAAGGACACCTTTGTCATCACGGCTGTGGGCGGCGGGGCGCAGGTCATACCCTATCTCACAGTGTACGCCGTGTTCCCCGTCTCCCTGCTGTTCGTGCTGGCGTACACCTACGCCTCACAGCACTTCGACCGATCCAAGCTGTTCAACTGGATCGTCGTCATGTTCGGGGTATTCAACCTGTCGTTTGCACTGTTCCTGTACCCCAATCATCGGAGCCTGCACCTGTACGGGCTGGGGGAGATGATGGCACAGGTGCGAGCTCTTGGTTTGCCCCACTTTTGTTGCTATTTCCGTGGATTGTCCGTTGACCTGGGTGTGAGTGTGAAATCTATACAATATATGTTCAACAGATACTGTGAGTATTAAGTGAAGTGCACAGAATGCCAAGCAGTGCAAATATATTTGTATTGTTTACCTATGTAAAATGCATGACAAGCAGAGCCTTGTACCTTGCTATCGATAGCAGGCACAGGTTGTTTCATCTTTGTTTGCCAGCTAGTGGACTCACAAGCCAGAACTTGTAACTGCTGAATGCAGCATAGAAAATGGGCTTGGATACTGTAAGAAGCTGGTGCATGTGGGTGGCATTTTGCTAGATGTTAGCGAATCACATTGCAGTTACTGTCCACAAAAGGTTATTCCAACAGTGGCGGGCAGATAGGCGACGATGCGTTTTTCTTTTGTGACAAAACACAACACTACATTTGAGAGTCCAGGTGCCATCCCATACTAATGTACTTGGGTGCTTCTGGGACTATAGCAACCCATGGGCAAAGCTGCTGATCGTGATGCGTGTTCCTGTGCACAGAACTTGCCCGTTGGATTGGACGGCTTGATTGGCATGCTTCAGAACTGGACTTTCACCCTGTTTTACTGCATGTCAGAGCTGTGGGGCGATGTGGGCCTGAGCCTCCTGTTCTGGGGATTCGCCAATGAAATCACAAAGATGGAGAATGCGCCGCTGCTCTACCCCCTTTTCGGAATAGGGGCCAACCTGGCACAGACGCTTGCCGGACTTGTGCTCAAGTTCTTTTCGGGCTTGGGAAGTGGGGAGGCCGCCTTTGCAACCTCCCTCGCAAAGCTCATGTGGATGGTGATGCTGTGCAAAGGCATCGTCATCGTGCTGCACTTTTGGATTGAAAGGAACTCCACAGATCTTAGGAAGCAAGAGAAGCAGCAGCGGCAGATTGCTGCGGCTGAAAGGCCGTCCCATGGTCCGTTGCTTCCTGGTGACAGGACGGAAAGCAGGCAGCGAATGCGCAGTGACAAAATGGATGCTGCAATGCCTAATCTGGGGAATGGCCACTCCAGCAGTCAATCTGATCGAAGCCAGTTGCACCCAGCCAGCAGTGCCTTAGACGAAGGAGGCGGCCATGATGACAGGGTTGGGGACACGGTCCACATGGAGGCCTCAACCAGCTCAGAGATTGAGGGAACCAACGGGTCTGGTACCCCAGCTGAGGACACCCCACGCAGCATCAAGGAGGTGCTGAAGATATTGGGACAAAGCCCCCACATTCGTGCCCTGGCTGTGATGATGGTCGCCCAGAGCTTTGCAGTGAACGTGATGGAGTTCGTGTGGAAGTCGCATGTGGGGTTGGTGTACCCCACCCCGGCTGCCTTCACTGGATTCATGGGTGATGTGGCCACTGCCACTGGAATCGTAACGGGCTCCTTGATGTTCCTCTCCCCAATAATGTTCGAGAGGCTAGGTTGGACAGGCGTTGCGGGCGTGACCCCCAAAGTGCTTTCCTATGGAGGTGGTGCCTTCTTTTTGTCGTGTTTTGCATACCACGCATTTACAAGGATGGGTGCGTTGGCTTGGGGAACAGCGGTACTGCCAGCTGTGGCATTCGGTGGGGCCGCACTCTTTGTGCTGGCGAGGGGCGCCAAGTTTTCGCTGTTCAAGCCGGCAGAGGAGATGGTGTATATATGTCTGGATGAGGACAGCAGGACAAAGGGGAAGGCCGCCGTGGACGTCGTGGGTGCGCAGTTCGGGAAGTCTGCAGGCAGCATTTCACAGCAGGTGAGGGTGCATGAGCTAGCATGATGGCACTATCAGAATGGGACGAATCAATGCCCTTTGGCCTATTTGTCAATGTCGTAGGTCATGGGAGCTAGATTGCAAATTGTTATAGTTCCATTTCATTTCGTTATTTGCATCGATGTACTGTGTGTTTCGTTTGCTTGAGCAATTGACAGTGTGTGTTGTTACATTCTTGTGTGTTGTAGACTACTTGTTCTATCATTCACGTTGACCATGATATGGTTTATTGTTTTGAGCACCACCAAATTGTTTTCCTTATGTGGTGTTCATTTGAATGGATTTGGTTGCGTTCGGCCTCGCACACAATGGGCCGCAAGAGCAAATCTAGACCACTCACCTGTCAGGATGGAAAAGGGCGGTGGGTGCTGCTTCATATACTCCTGTGCGTGAATCATATTGGAAGTGTGCGTGCTGACACACTTGCACACAACAACAAAATGCAAGAACACAAGAACATGTAAAACAGACAAACTGGGACGTGGCGCTCAGAATGCCTTCCTGGATTGGGATAAGTGGCTGTGGGCAGAGTTGCCTGATTGCCAAATAGCGGTACATGTCAGTCCCATGCAAGTCCGTGTACAGTGTATCCACAGAATGCTTCCAAAGTCGTCTGCACCTGTCTACAACATAGAAGAGAAGCAAGGTGTCATGTGTGTGTGGCAGGTGCTCTTGCTATTGAGCAGTGGTGCGCTATTTGGCATCATCCCTGTGATCTTTGGCATGTACATGCTGACGCTTCGGGAGTGGAACAAGGCCGTGGACGACCTCTCTGCCTTTCAGGCAGTTGAGGACCCAGAGTCGCCAGCGCCAGGCGATGGGCCTCAGGGGTCCACCAATGGTAACGGCGCCCATCGGGGCAAGAGGGACATCGATCCCAACGCCCCGCCCGCTCTGGCAGGCTCCATATCGTGAGCACTGAAGCAGAGAAACGAAGCGAAGAAGAAAAGAAGGCAAGAAGACTTAGCTCTTGGAATGGACCAGCTGTGCAGCAGCTGCCCCCTGTTTTACCGCCACCAAGGAGAGCGTTGCTGCTGGCAGGCTCGCTGTTGAGGCAGCGTGCATCCCGTGCCCTGGTCTTCTGCTGACTTGGCCTTTTGAGCAGTGCTGCCGTCATATGCAGTCCTCTGCTGTCGAGGGGTGGGACGCCCTGAGAGGATTCTGCTCACGGTACATGCGTCATGAAGGTCATTTTGGGATCTGGTCCTTCCACTGGCGCGTTAGGCTGAGTCGATTGTGGCCTGCTGTCTGCCACGGCGTCATGTCGGTGCGCGCGCCCAATTTTTGTTGACTGAGAGGAGGTGTACACATGCGTTGCTTTGGACACCGGTGTTGGAATAGGAGAGCGCTGCTCAAGTTGGCAACTCAAGTTGGGCCACAGCAGTTTTTGCGAGGTCGACTTTGTGAGGTCAACTTTCGCTGGCACTGGGTGCAGCCGCCCAGCAAAATGTCCTCATCGATCGCAGTTGTCGGTTTTGGACAGAGCACCGCCATTTCACCCCTTGGGCAGTGATTCTTGTTTTCTCAGTGAGCATGGCACTGGTGGAGGGGTCGATTGACCTTGCAGGGTTGTGGCGGTGGCGGCACGAAGGGTTGTTTGGGAGAGTGGACTAATTGACCCTGCAGGGTGGTGGCAATGGTGAGGGTATATTTGATTTGCCATTGTTTACTGACATGGGGCCCCAAGGGCTACTTCATTCTTTATGGCCATGGCGCTTGCTGATGGTGGGGCGAACGAGTCTCCTGTCTGCATGGCCATGTAACCAATCGAGTTGCTGGTGGGTTGTCAAGGAACATCGCAGTGCCCAATGGTTGGTCCTTAAGCCAAGAATCTGAAAATCCTGAGCGAACAAGAAAACAAGCACTGTTTCAGAAGTCACTTGTAACTTAGCACGCTTGTGTTTTGCACAAGTGCAGTACAGTAATCTACAGGTGAAAAGGCTCACACATAGCTTCCAAAGGCCAACAACTTTGGACAGTAATGTTGAAGCATGCTCTCCCTTTGGGTGGACTGGGAAGTTCCCAGTGGGAACACCTTTCAGATGTGCCCATCGCCTCCTGCATACACCAATCGAGCTTGAACCCCTGTTGGCCTTTGGGTTGCAGTGAATAGGCATGACTTACTAATCCCATTTGACTTGCTGCAGGACTAACACATATCAAGTCAGGCATCGCATATCTTGCTCAGCAGTGTATCAGTGAGACTGACATTGTGCAGGTGCACTTATTCCCAAGTGGCTCTATTGTAGTTTGGCACGCCTGGAACCTCGACGATATCAACCCAGTCAAGTGTGACAGAAGTCCAGATGCACTGGCCCAATTTTCGGTGATGTTGGGCGTGCAGAAAAGGCAAGCTTGGAGGAATTACAGATTCCTAACGAAGTAGCCAACCAGGGACTTCTGCGCTTGGAACTGCTATGCCCAAAGGCTGTAAGCCACAACGGGAAGAACACAAGGTAGATTAGGCAATTGCGAATGGCGGACTACATGCAAAGGCCAAAGAGGGGGATGGGAAGAAGGATGCCTTGGAGGGAGCCCGCAGAAGTTGTGGTGCGAGTCAGCCGTCTGCCCGTGGCTGTTCAGATCGCACGCCACGATCCCCTACAGCATTGCTGTGACACATGTGTGGGTCGCTGCCTGCACACCATTGGTCGCGCCCCAACGACGCAGCCCCGCACTCCCTGCCTTTGGACTCTTCGCGAGCGTCTCGAGTCGACAACCCGGCGAAACGGGAGTCTCGAGTCGACACCGGCGAGCGGACGAGGGCGCCTGACCACCGTTCTTGCGGTGACCCGCTCGCGTTCCCGTTCCCAATGACGAAATCACTGTGACCCCACACCCAACCCACAAGCAAAGAAAAACGAAACTCTGGAAAACAACACAACCAATGGTTGCTTCATCATCATTCACTTTTACATATCAAGGCAGGCAGCCGTCAGCTGCCTATTTTGCCCCAGCGAAGCAGCGTCCTGATCAAGGGCTTGATCACTTCATTAAAGCTAACGCAAAACAATGGTTGTTTCGGAAGGGGGTCATCCGAAACGTCCGTCGCTCTTCCCCGGTGGTCGTACAGTTGACTAAGCGACTCGCGCGATTGCGCTATCCTTCGCAGTCCGTCCTCCACCCCCCCGGCACACGCAACCGGGCGCCAAACCAGCGCCCGTCGCACCACTCTTCCGCTCCAAACAGCCGTCTTTCTCCCCTTCCTCTGCGTCACCCTCCTCAGCTTGCTGTTCCCCCGGCCGCCCCGCCGACACCAGCCCTGGGCACCCGTCCCTCCCCACCCGCCGCCAATCTCTGGCGCCATTCGAGATTCCCTGATGCCGGCATCCCGATGCGACCGCCCCCTGTGCCTGACGCACGCCGTGCTTGGGCCCCTGACGCTGTCGCGCGCGCTGAGCTGGCTCCCGCGCGAGTCGCGATCGGACGATGATCCCCGAGGAAGGGACGACGGCGATGCGGCGCCGACGCCCAGGACGCGCAGGGCCGCCGCAGTGGCGCTTGGGGCAGTGGGCGCGCGGGCGCAGGCGATCTTCAGCACGGTGCAGTGGGGGACGATCAAGGGCCTGGTGACCTTCCTTGGCGGCGTGGACAGGTGTTTGGAGTGGCTGGGGGCGAGCAGCGAGCTGCCTGCTGAAGAGGTGCCCTATTTGAGAGCGGGGATAGAGATGCTGCAGAGGTTGGATGCCGAACACGGGGAGCTTGCACGGGAGCTTGGGAGATTGAGGGCTGAATTGGCGGCATCCAAGGAGCGGTGCGAGTCTCTGTCGCGAAGAAATGCGGCATTGAAAAGCGGGGCGACTTCTGCCCTGGAGGCTGATCGAATTATTGAGCAGGACCAGGAGCAGATCAATGCGCTGCTGGCGGACAAGGCGCGCCTGCAGGAGGAGAACGCGGGCCTGGCGCGCGAGGTGGTGGCGCTGCAAGATTTGCTGCAGTACGCGGAGGAGCGGCGGCGGATGGCGGAGACGCCCGGGCCGGAGGGCGGGGAGGGGGAGGAGGACGGGATGAGCGACGACAGCCTGCCGGAGCGGTGAACGCGACCCGATATCGCGGCTGTGGATGCCACTTGGGAATTGTGGTGTGAGCGCTGGGAATGGGCTCGGAGGAAGATACGCTGGGGTGGGGTGTAAGATTTGTTTCAAAAGAGACGGAAAGAGGCCATACACAGGGCGTCGCATCACAAGCGAGTGTGTGCGAGACTCTTTTCCATGCTGTGACAAGATGATGTGGAGTCCCCGATGCGAAGAGTTGGGCGGGCGGGTATTGTGGGTAAGGCTGCGAGGCGGGGGCCTCCAGGGAGGCTGTTCCGTGCGTGGGCGGCGTTTGTGATGGGATTGGGGGTACGAGGGGCGCGTAGGGAGGGGGCGCGGCGCCAAGGCGAGGGTTCTTTGGAATGCGGCCGTGCCGGGCCCTTGGTTCTGATTTGAAGTCGGATTGAGGTTCAAGAAAGGTGGCGTGAGGCAATGGGAGACCTGGCCGAAGCGAAACTGCTTGAAACGCATGTCGGCAGTGCCAGAGCGGTGGCTAGGATTGCAAACATGGTGGTGATTCAAGAAAGAGGGTGTCAAAGAACGTGCACACCCGACCCAGCAAGAGTGTCTGAGGCGCTCAATCAAGGAAGATTCTCTGGGCGTCTCGCACGCACGCGAAAGGGCCTGCAGGCGCGAAAGGGCGGTTGACAGCTGGGGACGCAGGGAACGCGCAGATGGGACAGGATGTGATTGAATAGAGTTGGGATAGGATTATGGGACACATATGGGATGATGGATATGGTGGGATATAGATGGCATGGGGTAGGAAATGGTCTTTCAGGTGGGGCTGATTTGCCCAACAGACTGGCGCACAGGTACCCTGGAACCCTGGAACAGAGGTTTCGAAAATTTGGGCGTCGGGAGTGTACCTTCTGCCCTTCCACGATGTTCTCACTGCCAATGCCTGGATCCAACTTGGCCTTTCATTGACATCAGCATGGCGGGCAGAAGCAGAGCGGAGCGTGACCGAGGAGTGTCTCATCGTGGTCAATGTAGTGGATGCAGATTCTCCTGCTGACAAAATGCGAGCCTGCCAAACGATGCCATGGGCGCCTGGAATGAGTGCAGTGCTCAATCGTGCAGTCTCTTGCCTTTGCGCAACGTGATTTTGGTGGGCACACTGAGGGGGCAGAGGTACCGCAGTGTTTGTGCCCTCGGGCCATGTTATCAGAGGGCAGTTGACAATGTAACCCTTTTGACATTGGGGAAAAGAATTTTGAATCCAGCATTTTGGTTGGGTCGTGCTGTTGTGGTCAACGGGTAAATTGTCTGCATGTATACAAGGTTGCTTTGCTGTAGTGTGTCTGATTGTCAATCAGCACACTTGGAATACCACTTGGCATCAAGTGACGAGTCACATTCCAACAAGCACCAAGTGTGGCGTGTACCAGTCTCTGTAGAGTCTCCAGAATAGGTCGGCAATAGTGAGGTTTGCTTCAGCCCCAAGGGTGTTCATTTGTTGATGGGTCAGGATAGAAGGGTGCACTGAGGCTGCTGCTGTTTAAAGACTGCAGAATGCACATCGCATGGGAATGCAGATTGTAGAATATAATTCATGGGCAGCTGGGTTTGTCACTGGACAGCTTTGCAGGCAGCGTGCCCTTGTTTCACTCCATGCTCCAGTGTTGGATCACCCTTTCGTGCTCGGACTTGGAACTGGTCGAATGTTCACCAGTGCATGCATCCTGTGTTCACAGGCTCAGGCGCAAACAAACTTGAAATCCAGTTTGGACAACTTGAGAGCAACTGTGCCCAATTTGGCCAGGCGAACTACCCATACCCATGTCGAACAGATCCTGATACCCATGCCCCAGATCCTCATACCCATGCCAAACAGATCCTGGTTGAAAGCCCAAACTCAGTAAGAGGCCACAATCAACAGTCCCATTGCGCCGTTTCGGATAGTGCAAACAGCCACGCACCCCCCAATGGCCAACATCGCCTTTCAGGTGCCAGGGCTCCGTCTTGTCAAGTGTGTTTGACAAGAATTTGAGCCCCAACGAACGCCTCCCCAACCCCCTCGCTTTCCATTTTCTTTCTGCCCCCTGATTCCCAAGCCCTTGATCCGCTCGATCAAAACAATCACCGCCTGCCGGCCCTCTGCCCCCGCCCGACTCGGCCTCCCCTCCCCCTCGCTCCGCTCACTTGATTCACGTCCCCGCTCGCCCACCGCAGAGCCAAGCCCCCCGGCACCAGCCTGGCATATGACGGCCCCCCCCTCCCCGCCCACCCTCCCCAAGCACCCCTAGGCGCCGCACCCCCGGCTGAAAAGCCACCCCAGCCAGTCCAGCCACCGCCGCGACTCGCCGAAAAACAACTCGGGCGCGGCGTCGGCCTTCCGATCGAGGCTCAGGCCGGGTGGCGCCCGCCCCCGTGCCGATCGATCGCGGCCGAAAAAAATTGCAAGCTCTGCTGAGGGGTGGAGACGGGGATTGGGATCCCCTCCCTCCCCCCCCTCCCCCCGTGGGTTGAGTGGCGTGATTTCGGCCCCCGGGAAGGTGTTTGCCGGCGGCGGGCCCTGAGCGTGGGGAGATCCGGCCGAAATGGGGTGCATGCTGTCGGTGGGCCGCGACGGCAGCGAGGACGACCACGGCGTGATGAAGAGCCTGCGCCTGAGGGAGGAGGCGATCACAGAGGGGCGGGGGAGGCTGAGCAAGGCGCCGCCCGACGCCCCCAAGGCGGCGACCGCGGACCTGGCGTTCATCGAGGTGGGGGCCGAGTGGGGAGCCCGGGGGTGGGCCGATTGGCCGCGACGATTGGCGCGAATTTGTTGGGGGAGGGCGCAGAGCCGCGGTTCGCGGAGCCACGGTCGCTCTTTGTGCCCTGCCGGCCGCGTTGATGTCAGGCGTCTGCGAACGGGGACTGCGGGGAGGACATGGCTGCGGTGTGCATCAGGGGCCCAGGGCAGCCCCCTGTGAGTCCCACGTGACGGCCACCCGCCGCAGGGCAAGCTTCCACCACCGAAGGTCCCCCACCCCCCGCCTCCCCCTTCCCTTTGCCATGATTCTCGCCGTTCGCCTGGCGTCCATCGCGGCCCATCCTATCCGGCCACCGCTTCCAGGAGGCGCCTTTGCGTCCTGCGCCTCCTGGGCTGGACCCAATCGCCGGCCTGACCCGAGGCGCCGTGATCCTCAGCGCGCGCCCGCTCATCTCCGTCCCTTCCGCGGGGGGTGCGGGGCGGTCGCGAATGCCCCCCCTTCCCCGCGCGGCCAGGCCGGGATGGGTTGTGATTATGGACGAGTTGCGATGCTGGCATTTCGCAGCTCCCAAGGAGCAGGGCGAAATCTCGTGCTGTTTTGGTCCGATCGGTTGGGTTATGGGCGCCCCATGCCGGTGCCGAGGGCGCTGCCATCATTCCTGCCAGCAGATGGGTGTCGCCCGCGAGCGGGGGGTGGGGAACCGGCGCCTGGGGATGCGATGCTGGACCCCAGGCGCCGCCGTGTCGATCGGTCTGTTTCGGCAAAGGCGCTGCAGCAGTTTCGGCAGCCGGGCTGCGTTGGGGTGCGTGTAGAGTCCAGATCGCCTTTGTGCAGACTCGTTTTGTATTCTTTGGTCGCTCTGGACGCCCAGATCTATGTGGCCTGGGCGCGCTCGAGGGGTTTGGGGTGGGTGTGTGGGCCCCGTGACTGTAGCTAATGCTGGCGTGGTACGTGTGTGCTTTGCTTGTGTTGTTGCCAGCCCTTGGTGCAGAAGACCAGCAGCGAACCCTTGCCAGCACATGCACAACACAGTGCAAGGGTCAACGTTGCTGGCAAGGAGCCTATGTAGAGCAGGGTGGTGTTTGTTGCCTTGGCTTCAAGTTGGTGGTCCAGACATGCTATCCTGGGCAGGTTTGGTGGGCGAAATCATGCTTGGCAACTGAAAGCCAAACGCTTTGTGATGACTGAAATGGATGCCTCCAAGTTACAATACTACCGAACATGACAACAATGTTTGCAGCATCTTGTGTTTGTTGTACAAAGCACTCTTTTCGGCAGTGTCCACGCACGATACCTGATTGCATGCACATGCCTGCAGAGCTGCTGCGGTCGGCCCGTATGTCCATGCCATGTTTTTAATACGATTTAGCACTTTGTGGTGTTGCCTGTTGTGCTTGGAGGCTGCTCCAATGTCAGTCTTGGTAGGAGTATAAGAAGCGTTGCCTGGGAGAGGATGTTCATTACAGGGTCCACCTGTTCTCTCAAATTCATTGGCAAGGTGCCCAAAGACCCAAGAAGAAACCTGGGAATTTTTGTTGCCAATCATCACATGGATAAAAAGGCAATCCCAGGAACCGACAGCCTCGCATCAATAGGCTCACAGACTATTGGTTTGGGAACCGGCTGTGAATTTCTCGTCTGTGAGCAATTTTTTCCTGCTGGAGGCTCCCAAAGTATCCCAAAGGGTTGGAGACCCCCAAGTACCCTGCAATAAGGAAAGTGCCTCTGCATCTCGACAGCAAAGAAGTTCAAAGAAAAGAGCCAAGTACAGCGCCAGGTGGCTTTGTCAGTGTGGACGGTGCAGCTTTGTTTAGCCATGCTGGACGTTGCTGATGTTGCTGCCTGTGCATGCCTGCAGAATGCGCTCAGCAAGCTGCTCCTCTTCAACCACTTGGAGCCTTCAGTTCAGACCAAAATTGTGGCAGAGATGTATGAGCAGCAAGTGCCTGCCGGGGACATTTTGATCAAGGAAGGTGACACCGGCCTTGGGTCAAGCGAGCTGTATGTTGTGAAGAGTGGCAAATTTGAGGTGAGGGGGAGGGCACGGATCGAGCTATTACGAAATATGTGCATCGATGCCGTAAGGCTGCTTACAACAGTAGGGGAATTTGGGTTTGCTTGCCAGCATTCATCGTATTCGAATTGTAGCAAACGATGATATCTGGGGCAGTGCGGAAGGGATCTTGGTGGCCTGAGTAAATGTATTCTTGCAAACATCTTTGCTGAACACAGTAGCCAGGTCAGAGGTCTCTGCATCGGTGCAAATTAATCTTGAAATGTGTTGCTATTGGGCTAATGTAAAGAGATGCGGTGTGTGGGAATCGCCCTCTGGATATGTGTGTGAGGAGATATCCCTAACATCGCCTGATCGGTAAACTGGCAGTGCTGTATCATGTTTTTTGAGGTTAGCACTGGGATGCACCGTTACAGGTCCGTGAGAACAGGCAGGGGATCAGCATGCGAGTCAACCTGAAGGAGCCTGGCGACTGCTTTGGGGAGCTGTCTCTCATGTACAACTGCCCAAGGTCTGCGACAGTGGCTGCCACAACAGATGCTGTTGTGTGGATTCTCGACAGAGATGTTTTCAGGTATGGTTTAGACACATGGCGTGGACGAGGCTCTCTGTGGGTCGATTTCATTTGTCTTGCTCCTTGCTGTGCTTTCACATGGTTGTTGCACTTTTGCTTTACTTGATCTTACTATCCTCAGTCCATTCTTTTGTGTTTCTTTGCACATAAGGAAACTCTTGAAGTGTTACAGTTGCTGCCATTGGCTTGGGTTGGCGTGCGGGGCATCTGCATATACGTGCATTCTGGAGTCCAGCGGAGGGCTGTGGCCTCATGTTCTTGACAGTTTTGTACTGAAGCTGAGGAACATTCTGAGTGCTTGTCGAGGACAGGGTGCGTGAGTCGTTCATGCACAATATGAAGAAGATCATTTGGACATTAAAGAGTGCCGGTCGTCGCGCATACAGTGCAAACTAGCAAACTAGCAAACTAGCAAACTAGCAATTGTTCCTCTTGTCTTGTGGACAGCCCTGTAAGGCAGGCACTTTGCATGGTACCACTCTTGCTGTCAGTGGTTTCTGTGGCGCTGCAAAATGGAAAAGGGCCAACCCATTCTTGCCAGAAAGGGCTGCTCCTGTTTGTGATGACATGTGACTTGTACGCTGTACTGTAAGACACATACCAAGAGGAAGAAAGAAATGCCCACACATGGCGAGGTCAGCCTTGTTTCATTGGGTTGCATGTGGAAGATGGTGGGCCGTTGAATCAGATGAGGTTCCAGGTTAGGAGCAGGTTGTAATATCATGATTCAAGTCGTGGCAGTCGTGGTGAGATTTGCAGTGCTGCTCAGTGTTTTGTTCCAATGAACTAAGGTACCTGGAGCGGACACTCGTCCTGTTGTCAACACCTTGATTGCAGCACAAAGTTTTGGACCATCAAAGAGCAGCAATACACGCACCAAGCAGAGCCTTGTCTGCCGTGCACAAGGCACTGAACTGCACTTTAATTATTGTGCTGTAAGCACAACTCCACCCACACCACAAAATCTGAGTTTGGGGCTCTTTGTATGGGAGGCAGCTGCCAGCTCCAAACTTGGGAAGGCAATGGAACCACATTGTGTCAACCAATGCTAAAATGATGTTTGTGCCCACTAGGCACTTTGTCCGCGAGGGCAAAAAGAGTGAGGCCACCCAGATCGAGCTCTTCCTCAACAGCGTGCCACTTCTGTCCTCCCTGAATCGAGAGGAGAAGCTGCGCCTGGCAGACGCCCTCACACGGCTGAGCTTTGAGGCAGGGAGCACGGTCATTAAACAGGGCGACCCCGGGGATTTCTTTTACATAATAAAGGAGGGGGAGGCGGTGGTGTACCAGAACAGTCAGAATGGAATGGTGAAGGTTAACCACTTGTTCAAGGCTGATTTTTTTGGAGAGAGGGCGCTCCTTTGCGATGAGCCGAGGTGCGGTGCAGGAGGCGCATTGTGCTGCAGCTGTGAGAACTAGTGGCAGACTAGTGTCAAGAACAAAACTGCTGTGAAACTCTGTTCCAGGCTATGAAATGCGTATCTCGCTGAGTTGTTTTGCCAGCCCCAAGGCACTTTTGAGTCTATTTGATTGTTGTATATTTGTTTGTATGCTTATGTTGTTTGACTAATTGTGCATCCCTCAACTCGCAATTCTCTCTGATTCAATTTATTTGTTCAGTTCGCATTGCAGCGATTGGGCAGCGTCGTTGCTCACAACAAGTTGTGGAGTGGGCTGGCGTTCTTTCAACCAGTGCCCACACCACTTGGTTGACTGGATCCCATCGCTGCCTTGCAGGGCATATGATGACAGCAACAATGTTTGTGTCACCATCAGTGTGAATGTGAGTGCAAGAGACTGACAAAATAATGTGACGATGTTACTGAGTTAATCATAAACCTGTTGTTCGAATCAGGGCAGCCAGTGTCGAGGCTATTACAGATCTGACGTGCCTGGCCCTGAACCGTGACACCTTCGTTGACATCTTGGGGCCCCTGGAGGACCTCATGAAGCGGGAAAAGTCGCCAGAAGTTGTCACCACACGCCTCCTGCAGCTGGAGACCAAGGCGCCCAGCCACGTGCCAGCGGAGGTCAATGTGAGGCGCCTGAAGCGGTTGAGGCATGGAGCAGAGACATGGGAGATGGTGCGAGCAAAGGGGCACTTGGATGAGATCAGGGAACTGAGGAAGGGAGGGGTGAAGCTGGGAGGTGAGGACCCGTGTGTGCATCTGCACGTGTGGCTGGGTGGGGGTGGGGTGGGGTGGGGGTGGGAATCAAGCCAGTTGAAGCCCCAATCCAGTCTATTCTCTCAAGCCAGTCAATCACTTCTTCATCCACTTGAATGCTTCAGTTCTTAGTGTTGGGAAAGGAATAACCAGCAGATCGGTATTCCTTGCATTCTGCGTGGAGCATCGTCAAGTCATGTATATGCGCATGTGTCAGTAACTTATCAACACATCAGCTGGTGAATGGGCGCACACAGCACATCCACCTTTTGCAGTAGTGGTCTAAGATCCATTCATCGAAGGGCCGCAAACAGCAAACTAGATGGAATGCTGATTTATTGTAATTGATACAGCAATACATATGATAGAACCAGGTGGTGAACACAACGGAATCAAGCCAGGTACCACATATTTGGCTTGCCAATGTATTGAAATGAACAATGTGGTGTGTTGGCATATCTGGCCACTCGATTTTTGCCGTCCTGAAACCAAAGAAGCAGCAGGAGGTGGATTGCAAGTGCGTCAATATCTCGATGCTTTCTGATCCATTTGCCCAGCAATCGTGAAGAGTCGGTCTAATCATTTTAAGGGATGGAGAGAAGAAGCAGGGGGATGTGCTGTCCATGCAGTGTGCAAGATGATGCGGCGATCTCTATGTGCATGGGGATACATGTTTTGTGCAGATGTGAATGTTGGTTTCGTGTTGCAGATGATGAACATGACTCGAAGGGCAGCTTGCTGCTGACAGAGGGGCGTATATTGGGAGGAGGTGCATTCAGCAGGGTATCCATTGTCACAGGTTTGTATGCACTATCTCTGGCACATCGGGCTTTGGCTTGTGTGCTGCATTGTGATTTCAAATGAGAATTACACATATAAATTTCTAGTTATCTAGAGAATTACATATCTGTGTTGCTGCGCACCCGATATTGTCCATGTGTCTACATTTCTATGGTGTCTGCTTGCTGCCCCCTTGTAGCTTGCCTTACTGTCACGTTGTTGTTGCAGAGAGCCAGAAATGTGGGGTTGTTGATTGCTGATGTTGTTACTTTTATATATACTCCAGAGTTGATACGATGCCATTCTTGATTGTTGTAGTTGTTGATTGTGGTTGTTGACTATCCAAGTTTAGCAGAGATGTATGGCATCCCCAGTGTGCGATTTCACGTTCCCTGTGAGGACGCATGGATTTAACATGTTTGCCTTCCCCCTTGCGGACAGTATACAGCGCATGGCTTCATCCAGTTGTGATAACCTGATGCAAGGTGCAAACGTTGTGTTGCATCGGGTCCCACCTTGGGGACACATTCATGGCTTCTGCCCCTTTTTTTGCGCAGAGGAGACAACGGGCAGGACGTACGCCATGAAGCGCATGCGCAAGTCGGGCGTGGTGCAATGCCCCGAGCACGTGTTTTGTGAGCAGACCATCACACGCAACGTTGCCCACCCCTTCTGCATCCGGCAGTATGCATCATTCCAGGACAAGTACCACCTCTACTTTCTGTTCGACCAGATGTCTGGTGGTGACCTGATGGATGTGCTTGTTGCGGAGGCAAAGGTGACCAGCCCCGTCAGGAGGGAAGCGCTGATTGAGATGAGCAATTGATTGTTTGATTGGTATACACCTGAAGAATGTTGAGAACACAAAGTCATAAAATGTAGGCATGTTTGGTACTGTATAAATGATAGAGTACTGGAACCCGAAATGGCATTGGGCAGATGGGTTTGCGCAGTAGTTGCCCGAGTGTGGCATGATATTGCCATGGTATGATGTAGTGTGAAACCAGTCAAAAACAGAACGTTTTCACCTGCAAGGCAGTAACGAGCAAGGCCCCATTGTGGCTGGTTGCTCAAGAATGTCTGCACACCTTTGTTGCTCTGATCAAACTCGTGGTGGACCCATTCTGGGCACTGGGCGCTACTGTCCTGATCTGCTGTCGTGATGTGAGAGTGGTGTGGTGCGCCTGAGCGCACAAGCACTTGTTACATCTGCACCACGAAGCAAGACTTAAGCTGTTGCCGTGGTCAATGCCAGGGACACTCTATTTATTGACGGTTTGATGAACTGGCGAATATGGTTGCATCAAAATGGATCGCTGTCCTGTATTGATGGATTTCTCAGTTGCTTTATTTTGTCCCTCTCAGCTGGTTCACTGTCTACGTTCCCATTTATTTAATGTGCTCATTGATTGAAGGTGATAAGGCGCCGCACGGCCCAGGGCACATGGCGGCGCGGCTGCCTGGCTCCCAAGATTAAAATGCTGCAGGGCATGCGGGAGCCACTGGGGCGGTTCTACATCGCGAGCGTGGTGCTCGCTCTGGAGTACCTGCACAGCCAGAACATCGTGTATCGGGACCTCAAGCCTGAGAACGTGTTCATTGATGACAAGGTGTGTGGCTGAGTTGGCTGGGCTCCTTGGATTCATGCCTCTTCCCTTTCGTCCTTGTTGCTCGCGTCTTCAGCACATTTGTCTCGAACACTCTCGTCCATTGCCAGCGCGCTTCGCACTCCGTCTCAACTACCCAGTTCTATCGACCCATTTGAACTGGATGGCAACCATGCTCCAGCAGGAAGCTGAACTTGGCCACGCTGGTGGTTTTTGAACTGGGACAGCGACGCTTTGGGAAGAAACACGTGCATGGCAAGCCCTGCACAACATTCGCTCGGATGGTATTTGAACGTGATTGGCTAGATTCCTTTCTTTGATTTTGCCTTCGATGGACAAAGCAGGAGTCTTGCGCCTTGTAGGCGAAGACGGACATGCATGCAGTTAAGAACTTTTCTTGTCGCTATCTGTTCGTTTAATCTGCTGAACACCCATCTGCAGCGTGCAGAGAATGGAGTGCCGACTCTCTGGGAAGATTAACACATAGATGCAAGAACAGTCACAGCCTCGCCTGACAGGGGCAAGTTCGAATCTCTGCATTTCATTCCAACAGACTGTTCTCTTGGTCCACAAGGGGTACATCAAACTTGGTGACTTTGGATTCGCCAAGGCCTTGGACAGCGGCAATCGCACCTACACCTTCTGCGGTACGCCTGGTTATGTGGCCCCTGAAAACGTCCTCGCTCACGGCTACAACTTCAGCGTGGACTGGTGGGGTCTGGGGGTGCTTCTGTACGTGCTGCTGACCGGAAGGCAGCCTTTCAACAGCCCCAAGACGGACGACCCAATGGTGGTCATGAGGCGGATAGTCGACGACAGTTGGAGCATCAAATACCCGCCCTACCTGTCGCCCGCTGCCAAGGTGTGCTGGCTTTGCGTGTGGCTGGCTGACTGGATTCGTGTTTGTTATGAAGCTACAACTTCATTCCAAATGTCATACTCGAGTCTTTGGTTCCAAAAGTCGTGGTCGAATTCAAATCTTGCTATACCTCTGCAAGTTCTACTCCATCAATGAATCCGCCACCAGATTGGGAATCCTTGGTCGTTTTTGGGTTGATGCCGATCTTGATTACATCATACATCACCATACAACAGGAGATTCACAGCCTTCCCTACGACATACGCCCAATTGTTGTTGATACTCACAAGTCTGCGGTATACCCGTATCTTTAGCTTTGTCGATTTTGCTTGGACTTCAGCCTCGTGTTCAGTGTGTGCCGAACCACCACGCCGTACACCTTTCCTAGGGATAGCTCAGCTCGTTCCACCCCCTCTGAATGGCGAGACGAGCTTGCCATACTCCTCCCAAGGTCCCGACAAAATGACAAGCGGCGTTTCGGCTCTTCTTAACATATCCTGAGAACGGCAGCGCCGTTTGCCGCGTTTAGGGGCTCTACAGAAAGCTCTTGATATGGAGCTTCAAAGTGGTTTCGGACAACATTCCTGACTCACACGTTTTGACCTCCGTTTGCACAAATTACAATTCGGCCACGACTTGTGGAACAGAGGTAGTATTATTGTCCATTTTGAGACAATAGTTCCCAAGCTTGTCAATTGGACGTCCGCAATGTGCTAGAATGGAACCATATCATAATGTTGTGTAGTAATTAGCACAATGTAATGTAGAATAATAAGTAGAACGCCGACAACTAAATTTCGTCATTGTGATGAAGTTGGCATAACTTGTACCATTGTTCGGATGGCATTCAATTTGTACACATTTTTGGCAATTTTCACAACTTCTTTCAGTATCTCGGTATTGTAACGTCGAGTGTTTACTGCCATGCGGAAATCACTCATGGCCAGCGCGCGAGTGCCACACTTGCCAAGATCGGCTTTCTGCTGCCCCCGTCCTCAGGACCTGATACAGCGGCTGCTGGAGCGCAAGCCCGCCCGGCGGCTCGGCATGCTCAGCGGCCGGTCCAACGACATCAAGCGCCACCGCTGGTTTGAGGGCTTCGACTGGGAGTCGCTGGAGGCTCGCCGCATGACGCCGCCCAGGAAGCCCAGGGACGACTCCATGAAGCGCCTCAAGGAGCTGGAGGACAGTGAGAAGCGGTCGCCGCAGCGGTTCAAGGAGACGCCCGAGGAGATGCAGGAGTGCGAGATGGTGTTCGCAGACTTCTAGGGGCGCGGACGATCCCCGTTTGGACTCGAGATCCAAGGGTTTGCTTGTTTGTTCCTTGCACAGATGCATCGACGTGACGTCATGGCATCGACCGGAGATCAGAATCAGAGATCCAAAAGATCAGAGATCTAAGGTTTCTGATTTCCCACAACTTGCGAAGGGGGTTTTCCGAAGGGTTCAATTCCTAGAGCCCGAGAGTGGACTGGAGGTCAGGGTGCCCCCTTCGCGAGTTGCAGATTTGGCCCCGTTCACCCCCATGCGTGGTGCCATTCGGCAGCGGGGAGCGTGGGCCGCACGTTGTATGTGAGATTCTGGGGATTGCGTTTTGCGGCGGCCGGGACTGGCGCTCGGCTCTGAGGGGATGCCGAGGCAGAGTCGATCGAGTCGAGAGGGGAAGGCGCTCAATAAGACAGCGGCGGCGGCATGGTGCGAGCGCGGGAGCCATGCATACGTACCATATATGCATACCATGCGGTATGCGCGCACGCTCGCCGGAGGCTGGCGCATTTCGCGGAGAGTCATAATGCGGTGGGCCCTTGGGCCTAAGGGCGCCGACGGCCCGGGAGCGAGCCGCGCCTGCCCCGCCTCCCACCCCTGCGGCGGCTCGACCCGTTTCGGCGACGGCTCGCGACGCAGCGAATTCAATTTTGAGATTCATATTTCGTTTGGGTTGTGGCTTACGGAACGCGGACGGAGGGCTTCCGACACCGACCGGAGGGGGTTTCTTTGTATTAGGCTTCACGGGGGACTGTGTGCCGGGCGAGCCGGTGTCGGGCGCCGGCCCTCGAACCCAACGGCGGGCGCGAGCGCCCGGCACAACACAGTCGACAAACGCATTTCATTTGTTGTGTTTTTTTGCCTTCGTCAGGAAGCCGAACTGGGCGTCGTGCTCGAAATCGGCGTCGGGTATCCGCTCAGCGTCGATGGGAAGTTCCGCGGCGGTCGCCGCTCTGTGGGTGCGGCGACGGCTGTCCGGCGCGGCGTGCGCTGGAGGGGTGTGGGCGCGTGCGTGGGGACTGACTGAGAACTGATGAACTCGGAGTGTGGCGGGATTTTTAATGCACAACGAGAACTGCGTTTTGGAAGGCGTGCCCATTGTTGCTGCGCCGCTTGGGGGGGGGGGGCAACGGGCGGTTGCGCCGTCTGACGATGGCGCCCAGATTGGAAGCTGCTTGGCGGCCCGCACGCTGTGCTCCCACCTGCTGGCCTGCATTTCGCTGAGGGCTCAGCGCGCTGGTGAAGGGGGTGCCAAAACTGGAGGGACCCTGTTGACAAACGAAACGTCGAACTGCAGGCCCACGCTCAGCTCGTAAGCTGACAAGTAAGTTGTCAGATAGCTGTTTACGATTGAGGCACGGCGTTCGACGTCGAGCGAGTCAGACGCCTCGTGGCAGCTTACAGACGTGCAACAAAACTTGAGACACCAGCCTGACGTACGCAGATGCCCGACATGTGTCCTTGGGATTCTGCCGCGTTGAAACGAGTATCATGAGTGGCCTGCATCATTAGTGCCTAAGCTGGGCGTTGGGCTGTAACTCGAACGATATGTCTTGCGGGATGTTGAAACGGCATGTGATTTATCCTCACTGTGCGGCGACTGTGTGGGGCAGCACTCTGCCTCATTCCTCACAAGTGGCAAAATATAAAAAGCATGCATGGGTGACCTCGCATTCAAATAGCCTGCATTTCACCACCCCATCCCGATTTCTCATTGTTGGCCTGCCGCACCGGTGAAGATTCATCCGTTTAACGCGACTGGGCTCCGCGTTAACACCTCCCACGGCTCCCGCCACTACACGGCAAACTGCAACCAGGCCTTGCAATAAAATTACATAGAATGGGGTCAAATTTTCCTGCCGAGTTCCGCGCCGACCCGCAGCTCAAAAGAATGGGATGGAGACGCCGTTGGTGGCGAAGTTGGCGCCCAGGGGGTCCGCCAGGTGCTCCGTCCAGCACTCCACGGGCCCCTTCCCCGTTGCATAGTACTGGAAGTAGAATCCCGTCATGGCGAACATCGCCAGCCGGCCGTTCTTGATCTCCTTCAGCTTGAGCTCGTCCAGCTTGGCCTTGTCGCCCTTGCTGAAGCCGAAGGGGTCGAAGGCGCCACCAGGGTATATCCGGGTCTCCAGGTCGGGCTCGCCGCCCCGCAGCGCTTCGGCGGTGCCCATCAAGACCAGTTCCTGAGGAGGCGCCCGGCACAGGTGACTGGAAAGTGAGGAGAACAGGAATGTGGCTCGTGCATGCGTGCGTGCACGCGAATCCGTTTGACTGCGGGTGTCCTATTCTTTTACCTTTTCAAGTGACGAAGCACAGGCCGTTCTAAGTGACGTCAGGTGCAAGCGCGCTCACAGGTCGCCCACGCTGCGACTCCACGAATTCCAGAAATTGAATGCAATCTATTTGAAAATCGCTTTTTCGTGTGCCAACGGTCGTGCACGCTACGCCGACAGCGCTGAATGATACACAGTACGTGGTACATTTGTCGCACTCGCCAAGATTAGTAAAGAGCCGAACAATAGGGAGCTATCGTTTCTTGAGAGACATCAGTCATACTGCAACATTGGTGAGTCACATGCCTAGCACCGAGAGTTTGTATGCTAGTCTGGCAATTATCACTGCTTGTCAGTTGAAACATGTGCCGGGAAAAGGTCCCGCAATGTGGTGGATCGTTCACAACGTCGACAAGCGGGCAGGACAACGCCAGAATTGATTGTGGAATCTTTTCCATACGACAGAGGTTGTGTAGACATCACTGACCAAAATAGATTCCTCCACCAGTTGTGCATGGTGCTGGGAACAAACTATAAATAGGTTGCGCTGTTCCGCTGGGAATCCTTGTCGCAAGCGTGTTACTATTATCCTGAAGGGCTCTGCTCTCTTGTGTGCTGTGGACAGAAGTCGATAAAGTAGGTTGCAAGCATACGAGATGCCTCTGTCTTGTCTATGTGTTGCATCTTATGCGGTCCACCGTTCACACTTTCAGGACTTCATTTTTTACATTTTGGATCTAGCATCGGGAGTTGCGCTGCCGCAGAGCAGATGCACAACATATTCTAATATGGATACTCCATATATAAGGCTGATGATCGCCAACAACAAGTAGGGATCCCCTCTTCTCTGGGTTGTGACCTATGGCGATAGAAATCACCAGTCACCCGCAGGATTTTTGGGATCTTGCTCACAGGACACAGATCCTATGTAGGTCGTTCAACATTTATGGATCAGACACCACCCCAGCTGGCCAGAAAAATCTGAACACACTGGATCCATGAATACCACTGTCCACGGCCAAGAGCAAGACTGGCCAATGATTAAAATCGTGACCAATCAAGAGCAATGAATTTGTTCTGACGACAAGAACCAGACATCGCCCGGCAAGAGCAAGGCATTGTCATGTTATGTGACACAAGTATTTAGCGAAAATTTACTTGACGCATGGTTCGATGCATTGTTCAACAGATGATGCCACTGGGATCCACGAGCAACACTTACGATGGCAGCAAGGGTCTTGATATCGAATGGAAGTGTGTTCCCAAGGTACGTTGGGCTACCACCCTCCTTCACCTGCAGCCAAAAAATCAGGGAGCAACAATGTTAGATGGGGGGGCTCAGAGATGAGATTAAGATGCTGTGCGCACAGTGCTTATAGCACTTCAGCAGCAAGAGCCACAGTCCGTTTTGAACAAGCCAAGAGAAGTGCGCTTTGGTTATCCACACAAACAGCGAGAGTGTTTCACCATGAAACTCTTATGGTGCCCAACACTGCATATTAAAATGCCTGTCATTGTGATTCAAGACTTCAATTGCAGCATCAAGGACCTGGACAGGCCGGTGTCAGAAACCCAAATCGTTTGAAATCAAGCTCAAAACCGCTGCAAAAACGATGCGCTATTGACCACAAGGCCATTGCATGGAGCGTTGAGATCCAGTGGAAAATCAGAGTAGTCTGAAGGAACATGACTCACCCAGGACGGGCCAGTGTACCAGTTGCCAAGCCCCAGGATCTCCACAGTCAGGGAGCCAACCACGCCCAACATCGCCCACCGCCCATTGATGACCTCACACTCCCTCATGCGCGCAAGGTTGCCGGGCTCCACGGAGAGGCCCAGGGGGTCGTATCCGTAGTTTCTGTTGCAAGTGAAGAGCAGGGGGCCGTTAGAAGCAAGGGTATAAGCTGGCCGCGTGCAAAACTCTGTGCTGGGGCCGGGAACAGGCAAGGCTATTTACTGATGCGCCCCTGTTCGCCTGTAAGGTGTTCTGTATTATCATGTGAAGTTGGCATTGTTGGTGATGTTGGTGATGTTGGTGCTTGGTATTGTCATATGCTGTTGTACAAAGTCGCAGGTATTGCGCTGGTGCGTCCCTTGATCGTCCCAGCGCCTCCCGCTCCTGGCTCGCTGGATTGAACACCCCACTTCACGGTACAGGTATTGCGCTGGTGCGTCCTTTGACCCCCAATTTTATACCCCACTTCACGGTACAGGTATCGCGGTGGTGCGTCCCTTGATCGTCCCTGCGCCCCACCCCCGTGGTTCTAAGGATTGAACACCCCACTTAACCAACCGGGCGCTGCGCCACGATCGAGCCCCCGTTTGCAGCGACAAACACGCCGCGGATCAGAAACGCGATGCGGAGGCCGAGATCAACGGCTGCGCAGCATCCCCCCCCATTCATCCCTCACGCTCTCTTCCCAGCGTCCATTCCACGGCAACAATGCGCGCAACTAGCGTCCAGCGTGCCACGCCAGCGCGACCCCTTCTCACGCCAACGCGCACCCAAGCAGGGAATTCCCCTTCGTCCCAATAAAGAACCAACCGCGATCTCCGCCGCTCCAACGCATCGACAGCCAGCTACCGAGGTGACGGTCGAGCGACGCTCACCCAATGAGGTCATCCGTCAGGTGCGGCGGGCAGTCGCTGCCGGGGAACCAGTTGCCCACTGTGGCCTGCACCTTCGCCCCATTGCCGGGCGCGGCGATCGATCGGCCAACCAGGGCCCTGCGTGATGCACCCAGCACCAGGGGCGAGGCTGCCTGGAGGAATGCGGAGGCCATCGTGCGGGCGCGAGTAGGGAGGCAGGCGGGCGGGAGGTGGGGGGAGGGGCGCTGGGTGCTGGTCGGGAGGCAAAAAGTCTCGGGGCGCTCGGAGAGGACCCACTGTGGGGCAAGATCGCAGATCCCAAATCAAGACCGCGCGTAATGGTGGGGGCCATTTGGGGGGGCCCGCTTGCGGTCAGCAGGGGCTGCCACCATTTGCTTTGGTCTGGAGGTGCCTTGCTTTCTTTTTTGAACCAAACGAAATTCTGCATTCCCCCCATCCCTTCCACATATGGAATAAATAGTGCAGAACAAATGTTATGAATAAATACAGTATTGAAGAATTCAGCGTCTTGCGTTCCCCACAATCGAGCACCCGTCGACAATCCCCAAGTCACATGGTCGGCACGGCTGCCTGCGGGCAGGCGTCCGTCCCGCACTGCCCACGCACTCCCATTGCGCATCCCCACCGATCCCACACACTGATGTGACGGAGCCACGTGACAATCAGGCAGTTGTGCAGCCAGGACATTGCTGTTTCCAGGTTGATACGGGCATCCAGCATCCTGCTCGTCCATCGTTCTGACATGCTGGGTCATTCTTCTTGCAACCGTCTTAAAGCATTCCGCATCTTTTTAGCGTACTAAAAAGCCAGTATGCTGCCCATTTTGGCCCCCTCTTTGCCATGAGGGGCCTCTCGGCTGATGCCAACTACAGTCCTCTGTTCTGTGGCCTCCCTTGGTTGATGTTCGTGATGATGCAGTGGGTGTTTATCATCACGTCACGCTAATGTCGCTGAGTTTGGCTGGCAAATGCGCACCTGTAAAATCAACAAAAAGTGCTTCCAATTTTGGGGGGCCTTCAACAGAGGCAGCCAGGGGATGGTTCCCGAGCCAATGGGCATGTCTCTGCAGCTTGCTTTACGTTTCAGTCGCAAGTCGTCGTTCGCCATTCAGCACTGCGCAATCCAGGGCACGCATGCAGGAGCTGGGCAGGGTGCATCGAACCCAGTCTTGTTCCTGACAATCTTCCCTGCCAGGTGCATGGTGCGCAAACAGATCTGCACCAATGAAAGGACCCACAATGCCTTGGCCAGGAATCTCTTCTCTTCTCCATTTGGTGACCAAAGAAGCCCTGAATACTGGTCCTCATGCATTCCCCAATCAAAGCACACAACCTGCAGGGAAATGGAACTCCACAACCACACAACGTGCAAAAGCGGCATTCACGAATATTGCAACATTCCCTTGGCGTTTGTAGCCCTCTGCTGCCCATCAAGCTGAGTGCCGCACATGTTGAAGAACCACAAGCACGATGGCACTGAAGGCAAATGTACCAACCCTGGACTGGCACCGATTTTACATAAATAATGTACCCTTAACCTGACCCAGAATTCCAAAATCGGGACTCCAAACCGCCACTCAGGCCTTGACACCCACCCTTCCCAGCCCTACCGCTATGCTGCACCCCTCCTGAGACCCACTCGACCCCTCTGACACTCCATCATGGCAAAATTTTCTTTCCTTGCAGTATACAAATGGATGGCAAACTACATTTACAGTTCCACAGGGGCGCCTCAGAAGGGAAGCGACACGCCATTTGTGGCGAAATTCACATTGAAGGGGTCTTCGATGTGGTCAATAAGGTTCTGCACAGGGCCCGTGCCAGTGGCAGCGTACTGGCAGAAAAAACCAACCGAGGCGAACATTGCCAGGCGGCCATTCTTGATCTCCTTCAACTTCAGCTCCTCCAGCTTGGTGGGGTCCTTGGACAAGCCGAAGGGGTCGAAGGCGCCACCAGGGTAGCACCGCTTCTCAGGGTCGGTCTCCTCGTTCCTCTTTGCCTCGGCACCCCCCATCAAGAACAATTCCTGGTTGGAGGTTGAAGTCAGAACATTGCTGCTTATCAGCAACACAACAGAGCAGCAGCTGTCTCTTTTTGCCAAGATTCTTTCACATGAGGCAATAGCCCCGCCAAGCCAGAATACTTGTGATACTGCCTTTCATGCAGCAGAAGTTTATTTGCAAAATTTTCAAGGAGTGGCAAGCGCAGCACATGATACAATACAGCACGCACAGGAAGCAAACCTGCAAAGAGCATGGATATTAGCAAAAGTGAGATACTGGTTCAACCAATAGGCCACGTTCCTGGGACCAGAAGTTGATGCAGACCATGAAGGACATTCCAACAATCCTGAGGGAGGCCGGGTGCCACACCAGCCTCTCGCAGTGATGGAGTAATTTGCCTTGTCAATATGTGCAGCTTTTCTTGCAGCTATGTCTGCAAGGTGCAAGGGGCCTGCACAGTCTTTCAAAGGCCAAACTGTAAAAAGGATTTAGGAACCATCGCCAGAGACCATCACTAAATGAAGTTGATCACCATGGGCAAATTTCCTGCACTTCAGAAGCATGCTCGAGCCCCAGGCCTGCCAAGAAAAGTCGAGTCAGCAAACAGGAGTTTTTCCCATTCACTCACTATGACGGCAAGGGTCTTCAGGTCGATTGGTATTGGATTGCCCAGGTACGTGGCAGGGGTACCCTCTGTTAAGGCCTGTGCAAACAGACAGAACGTCACAAGCACTCCCCAAATGGCGGCAGCCTGGCCTCTACAGCATATCCGGAGTCTGTTCTGTCCCAGTCTTTGTGTCATGGCATTGGCAGCCATATCATATCCATTTCGCAACGAGGTTCTGGACGGCCACTGTTGCAACAGAAGGCTGAAACAATCCCAAGTTGCAACGTTGGAAGCTGGGTGTCCTGTGCTCCCCCATTCCCACAAAACAAAGGAAAACTCCAGAATGATCGTGACAGCGATCCCCTCCACCGCTGCTGCCAAGGCGATGTGCACCCCATTGCAACACATAGCCACTGCGATTCCGGTGAGAATGGATAATGGATACACGAGATTGGAAGGTGAATTGGTGCTGAGCCAAACCCCGGCTCACCCACTTGGGGGCATCGAACCAGTTGCCGTATCCCAAGGCCTCCACCGTCAACATGCCGGCGACCGCCATCATAGCCCACCGACCGTTCATCAGCTCCCCCTCCTGAAACCTCGTCAGGTTGGACGGCTCTTTGCCGAGGCCCAGGGGGTCGTAGCCAAAGTTCCTGCCAGCGCGCAACAGCCTCAGCACCCTGCGCGCCGGGCGGCCCCCACGCGGCCCACCGGGTTCCAGATTCTTCGCGCACACTGGAGAAAGCGCCGTGTCCCGTCGCGACTCCACCCAAAGTTCCAGATCGAAGAGCAACGGTCGGGATCGCGGACCAACCACACTGCCACCGGCTTCCCTCCCTGGATCACCACCCTCTGCTCCACCCGACCCCTTTCAATCAACAAACCGATCAATCCAATCCGCGATGATTCCACTCAATCCCCACGTCGCCAATTCCCGACATCGCCAGTTCAAGGTGCAAGCGCCTTTGCTTGGTCTCTTGCCAAAAGCAATTACAAAGGATTCACACTCAATCCCCGCAGCCCCCCCAAGCAACGAAATGCCGTTCGCACAGATGTTGAGTCAGGGCGAAGCCCCCGCTCACCCGATCATGTTGTCGGGCAGCCACGCCGGCGTGGGCGATCCCGGCAGCCAGTTGCCGGCCTTGGCCAGCGCCCGGGCGCCGTTGCTGGCGCCCAGCAGGGGCCTGCCCCGCATGCCGCATCGCGCGGCCGACTGGCCCGCGGCCAGCGATGAGAATTGCAGCAGGGCGGACACCATGGCGATCGGGGGGGGCGACAAGGCGGGAGGTGGGGTGGGTTGGGGCGCAGGGCGGATTTCTCAGTCGAAGCGGGGGAGAGGGAGGGCGAAGAAGCGAACAGAGATCTATGGATTGGGAGGGGGACTGGGGACTGTACGTATCGGTAATGTATGGGGTACAGACTGCCAGGGGTGGGCGTCTGTCTATCTGGTTTGGCCTATGGAAGTGCAGGGTAGTTTAGTGGAGACAGTGTGTTTGGGTTGGTTGTTGCTTGGGGTATACGAGTAGGACACGCGTGGGCCATGTGTTATGGGCGGGTGTGGTTGTTTGGACGGGGCTCTGTGAGCAGTGAGGCTGGCGCCCGCCGATGAGCTTCCTGGCGCTGTTCGAAGCCCGCGGCGCCAAACGTTGAGTACCGCCCGGGCTGCCCTCCGTTGTTCCTTTTTGTGTTGTCGATCAGATCGGCCGATCCGAAGTGTGCGCGTTCGCAGCGGTAATGCCTCCTCCCGCGTTTGTGTTGTCGCCCAGCGTTTCCGCAGAGCGTGCGGAATTTTTGCTCAGGATGGGAATATTGTGACCGTGGCCACTGTCAATCTTGTAAGCATTGTCACCAGAAAGTGTCACTTCTCGCTTCACAGCCACCGGATCACCAAATGCGATATCCGCCTGCAATGAAAGGAAAATGACGTTTTTCTCTTGTTGCCTGTGTTTACTGCGCCCTACTGCAATGTTCCACAAGTTTTGATTGTGTCCACCCACCTCGCTGGGGCCAGTGCGGTGCAGTGAAGGGGGAGAGGGTGACATATTGCATTCACGACGGAAAAATGCTACATTCAACAGTAGAAGAGTGGCGGGGGGGGGCGTCATGGTCACCTGCACAGCGGCGTCGAGACTGCAGGCACATCAATGCCCTGGTGCCTGCAAGACAATAATGGGTGCTAATACTTCCAGGCCGATTGTTTGGAATGTCGAGAATCTGTGTTGACCATATTGGGCATGGGGCCACTAGTTTTCAGGACATCCTCTTGTCCTCTTCTAGGTGTTGGTCTTCCCAATGATTCTAATAAAATTCAGTCAGAAAGTTGATCAACATTGAACACATATTGATAGTAGTAAATTTGCCTTGGCATCACCCTTGGTGAATGGTCTTGCTTGGGATCCACTGGACATTGTCATGGACGAATTGTTGTGCTCTGCTTTTGCCCAGAACTGGCAGTTGTAGGGCTCTCTTAAGTGAAATGATTGATTGGGTACCAGATTTTCAGGATGGATGCATTACACATTCATCGCCTTGTGCGATGCCTGCATCGCTTCAGGCCTTTTGGCGTCCTAAGGTTTGGCGATGCAACTGCCAAGTGACTCTGTACTTTTTGTCTTCGCTGTGTTCAGTGTTTGACATCGCAACAAGACTCCCTCAGTGCGGAGTTGGAGCACGTGTGCAGCGTGTTACCTGGGGCGATGACTCGTATTGGGACATAACGAAGATCAAACCCAAAAAAGTGGGGCAATGTGTTGTTCTGCATTGCTGCTGATGGGAGCAAACTGTATCTTGTTGAAAGGGAGCTGAGCTGCACGAGCATTATCGTCTTGAGAAAAATGGAGGGCTGTGTAGAAGCCGTTAGTTCTTGATGTCGCAATGTTTGCAAAGCAGCGAAACAATGTGAGGAAACACTTCCCAGCATGGCTCATCCAAGAAGGATGTGAGAATTGAAACTGGTGACGAATTTTGAAGAGAGTTGGACACAACAAAGATGACAGCACAAATATGAACCACACTAAAAAAAACATGTGAGAATGATTTGGCTTCCTGTGATGATCTTTTTTTGGAATGATGGTTCCTGAAGAGGTAACTCCAGACTTGCGTTTGATATGAGTGGATTGTTGCGGAAATACAGTTATGCTTGTCACACATGTGTTTGGCATGTGGAAGCTGACATCTATAAATATTTCCAGTGGCATTGCATTCGCATGCAGTGCCATCAATTCTGGTGGCCAAGAGCAAATGCCCTGCCGAATGTGGGACAGGTTTTGTTTCTGCGACAGTGGTATGTGGATTGTATTCAAGACCAGCGTATTGCCCACTGTCCAGTGTGTGGAAGGATGCGTTGTGTGTGTTGCATTTCCGAGGAAAGAATTCATCAATTCCCTTTAAGGCGTTCTTGCGCATGCATTGCTCTCCCTTCCACCAGCCGTGGGGTCCCAATGTCTGCAATCTGGAATTGCTCAAGTTGGTGATCACTCCAGGGCTTCATGGCTCATCATTTGTTCTGTGACTTCACTGCTCACCTGACTTGCGTGTGATTAGAATTGCAACCTTGTTGCAGCTCTGAACATTGATTTGCCATGAACCTGTTTTGAGATTCAGCATTTTGAATACACTTTCCAAAGTTTGAGGAATCACTATCTTTCAAACTGCGGGCAGCATGGGGCATTGTTCATGTCCAAAAGCACCTGTTCTAAAAAGTACTGCTCTCTTGGACAACTTCCAGTGTGTGCTTGGCTACGCATCTGCGACTTTTTGTACAGTGTTCCTAATCTCACAGCCAGGGTCTGGTACTTTGTGCTTGTGTGCAGGATGGCAAGGGAGGGGATGCCTGGGGCATCTTGACCTGGAGGGGTGAGTGTGTTTGTGCGTAAGGCCACTGGCAGTAGTGTGTGTGGAGATGTGTGTTAGATTCTGGAGGACATGTCCAGCACTGGAATGGGTGTTCCGCTCTTGAGATTTTCAAAAGCCAGAAACTTGTCATGCCTTGGACCTTGTCACCCCCTCTTGGCAGGAATACACTGGCCCTATTCTATGCGGCTGTGTCACAAGAGCCACCAACAGAAACAGGGGAACTGAAGCAAGGATCATGCTGTCGAGCTACTGACATGTCTTTGGGAGTGTGCACGTGGCTAAAGAACAAATTCACTGCTGTTTGTTCACAGGAGCTTGCAACGCAATGCAGTGTGCATTGAGTGTGAGGAATATTGCTAGTTTCAACATATTGATGGGAGCATGTTGTGGTTCAAGCGATCGCATGAAGATAGTACTAGGTGGCACGGTGGCCCCAGCCTGGGTTGTAAATCTCTGATATGCATTCAATCTGTGACCTCCTGCCCAAAATGGTGTAAGAGATGTCCACATGAGGCAAGGGAAACAGGAAATTGGAAATTGTACACAATCTTGCCTCGATGGTTGGTAGGCTCCCCATCAATGCAATTTGGGAAGCTGTAACCTTCAGGGAGTCGTGGCAGAAAGAGTTCAAAGCACTGCGCCCCTATCTTGTTGTACAGCTATTTAGTTCCAGATGTACGGATTTTGAAGTGCTCATCAGAGTAGAAAAACTGCCCCTGCAGGCACACCACAAGGCACAACCCCAAAGCAAGTGAGAGGCCCATTGAAGAAAGTTTGGCGATGGATGCCTGACAAGGAGACATCGGCACGCTGGGCTCCGCTGGTGGAGGCCAGCAGGGCAGCTGCTGCTGGAGAACCCCCCTCAGCCAACCCTGACGATTCCAAATCTGATGCAGTACCTTAGGTATGGCTGCTTAGGTCGTGAGGGCACAGAATGTATGTCTGCTTCCCGTGCATCACAGCCAAGAGGGATCGGCGCAGGACGTCTCCTGGCTGGCTGTTCCATTTAAACCATCACAAACGGCCATGTACATGCTTCGAGGAGTCAACACAACAAATGTGGCTGTCACCAAGCAGAGGGACGGCCCCTACAGTTGGGGCCTGGTCTTTATTGGGAATGGCGATCGACCACCAGAGCACATCGCTGCTAGATGGGACTCCTCGCACATTGTTTGGTGTCTCTCTGTGGGTTTTGTGAGGCACACTCCCCTGTTGTGGGCAATGCAATGGATTGTGCCAATTGTCCAGCACAGGTGCAGAACTGCTGCTGCCAATGCCCGAAGCTTATGAAGTTGCGCTGCATGTAGTGTGTGTGTGTGTTTGTGGGGGTGGGGGGTGGGGGGCTGCATAGGGAAAGGCGGCATGTAGTCGGAGGCCAAGACTCAGTTTTGACTGAAGGAGCATCAAAGGCGGGAAGAATTGCTGGTGTTGAATTGTGGCAAACCATGTGCGCCAATGTAGTCAAGCCCTGTGAAGCAAGGAGGCTGTGTTGGGCTGGAGTTGCAGGCATGTTGCAGCCGCTCAGATGGGGACGAGTGAGGGAGACATGTTCCTGCCAATGCACAGAGCAGATAGCACACGGTGCACCAAGTTGCGCTGCTAACATGTCCTCAGGGCCATCATATGTTTTGACGTGAGAACTGCCTTTCGGCTGTGGCCCTGTCAGCAATTCCGTTCTGGGCAAGATTTGATGGAGCTGCCCCACAAAGCTGGTAGTTGCACAGTGCTTTCATGCTCACACTGGAGAGGAAGGTTTCTTGATTCGTGGGAATGTAGCCAAGAGGCGAAACTGGATGCAGTCTACGTGGATCACTCAATTGCACAGACTTTTCTTCTGCAAACGTTTGAAGGCACGCACCCTGGCTTGCAGGTGAAGCACGCTGGCATGACACGCTTTGCTGCTGTTGGCCATTTGACTGACGGTCACTGCGGCCTACACCAGCAAACATTGAGACGATCGTGGCAGCTTCAACCGGGGCAAGGGAATGTCAGTGGTCGAACGTCCACCTGCCATCACAATTAGGAAATATGAGATTCCCTTTGGAAGCAATATAGTTGAAGATTAATGCTATTCATGGGTAGGGCGAGCCGGTGCCAGTGGTGCGCAGCCCAGGCGCCAGGTTTCGTGGTCCCTGGCGCCATGACCGGACTGATCTGTCGACTAATAGTATATTGTGAAGCGCTGGTGAGCGAAAAGCGGGTTGTTCAGCCTGTTGATGCGGACTTCTGGATTCCTTTCTCGAACAACCCGCGTGTGGACGTACAGTCATTCAGGAGCGCTGTGGCTCATAAAGCGATTCGAATTCGAAAGGGAAGGTTGGCAACAAAGCACTGTTGGGGCCCTAGTCGACGTTACAGTTTCTCCGGGCGCACTACTCCTGTTTGGAATCCCTCGCAGCACATGCCACAGAAGACCATCTCTGGAGGGAAGGATACCGCACCATCACTATTGCAGCATAGGATACCGCATATGGGACGCCGCATTATTAGCAGTACAGCATCGCGATTAGCGGCACCGCAATGCCCAGCGTCGCTTGAGGTCACCCCGCGGGTCAGTACATACGTTTGCATACAGATGTATACAGCCACCCAATTGTGCGATTCATACATTGCCCCTCTAGCAACTGCTTCCTCCGTCGCCCCTCCAGTGCACCTCGTAGACCGAGTTGGGTCCCTCACGTGTCGGCGAAGAGTCCAGGCAGCCGCATACTGGGAAACGGCCTTTCCACAAAGAACAATCGCAAGGGACGTAAAGGCAAAAAGGTGAGTTGCTGCCAGCTTCGTGTTTCGCGCTTTCACCGTATTGTTGAAAGTGCAGGCCAGTGTTAGCGTCGGTGTAGAATGTGTTTGCCTTGAATAGCATAGCAATATGCTCTACCGCCCCCAACGGTGGCCACACGCCCAGATCCAGCCTTGGACACTCCACGCGCGTCCGACCTCCATTGTACCCCACGTCTCACGGGCCACTCAAATTCGAGAGACCTTTGAAGAAAATGACGCGACCGGCGGCTGTGCTGTGTTATCTCAGTCGCAGCTGCATGGAGGGTCGCGGATCGTCGGACGGATTGAGACTGCGCAGGATGCGCCCAGGCTCCTCGCCAATTGGAGCTGCTCCACCGGTGCAGGGCAGAGATTCTGACCCTGAAAGCGCACACTCCAGCCACGACCCCGAGGCCGACAGTGGTGGCGTGATAGGTACCGCCTCCACCCGCGCTATTATTGGCAATTAAACTGGAAAGGCACAGTGCCAGCACAATGCATCGGCCAAAGGTGGCCCCCCTAAACTGCAGTTTAGACGACATAATGAACTTGAACAACAGACGAGAAAAGAAGAAAAAACAGGCTTGGGTATGTTGGTCAGTATGCACGGGGAATGACATGTGGTACACGATTTGCACCGCTGTGACGCTGTCTAAATGTTGGAATGGATCATGCAAATTGCCAACTTTCCAGCGACAATATGCCTTGCTCGCAGAAGCTCAAAGTGCGGAAATCTTGATCGGATAAACCACTCAATCACGGTGTTTGGACGTGTTGGTGAGGAAGTAGCGGAGGGCTTTGTACGTTTTGCGAGAGCGAACGTGTCGGTGAATGGTGAATCGCCATTGGTGAAGCTTATAGATGGCTGCCAAGGGGTTATTGTAAGTTGCGAGCGATTGCATTATCTTGGCGAGTGAGTTCAACGGCATTAGCATGACAGCACAAAACAATCCTTCTCACACTTCGGATCTGAAGAGTGTCAAATTGCTGAGAATCGCGCAGTATCACTCCGCAGCACTATGAATTGGGCCCCAACTAGCTTCGCAACACAACGGTGCAATTTGCTCCACACTAGCCAATAAAACTGTGTGCCCGATACGCAAACACTGTGATTCTTCAAAAAACGGCTCATTTTTATGCACTGTACATTGTATCTAGTGTACAAGCGATGCGCCAATAAATAGACTTCTCATGAAGTAGCATTGACAATATCGCCTTGCATATGTATCATTATTGTTGTGAGGGCAATGAAAATAGATGAATAACTATACATAATATAGTGCAAATGGGGCTTGACTGCATATGGTAAACATGGCGTTGAATTTGGTGAAGCGGTTATAGACATGCGGTGGTTGCAAACTCAGGACATTAGCAGCTAATTTTGTTTTACTGTTGTGCTCGCCCTGTAGTGCATCTGGTTACGGCGTTGCTTCCCGTCCCTGGGAGAGGCTGTGCGTGAGGATCCTTGGTCTTTTCTCAACTCTAATTGGGACGAAAACCAAAGCTCTCAGGTGGTCGCTCCTAGGCACGAGAATCAACGCCGTGACCAGATGCATTACAGGATGAACGTACCAGAAAAATGGCTTTCACTGCAGCATATTCATGTCCAGTCTCCATTGCCCCCATAACATAGACACCATGCTCGCCGTATCTACTTTTCACCATAAAATACCATGTATCACATAATCGAGCACTAACTCTTCTTCGCGAGCACAATAATCGTTGAGCAGCTTCACCACTCATTTCCGGCAACAGGGACCTTCCGCCAAGCGGCCTTCTCCGTCCTCATGGCCGTCCTGCCTCGGCTGGAGGGCCTTCTGGACGGGTGCGCCGGTCGGGCCCGGGGTCCCAAGTTCTCGGCGCAGCGCCTCGCGGAGAAGGCCCGCCGCAACGAGGACCTCCGCAAGGAGTGCAGCGTGCTCAGGGAGAGGCTGAGGGAGGTGGCGGAGGAGCAGGAGGCGCTGGAGGAAGAGAATGCGGGGCTCAAGGAAGCGTGCGCCAGATGCGCAGGCAACGCTGTGATTCTGGAGCAGGACAGGTGACCACACAGCCACGGGAGAAGAGAATACCCATACACACATCCTTGTGCTGGAACAGTGTGTGGAATAGTGCGTATTTCCTGCGCATGGTGGAACATTGCGACTTTACTTCTTTCGCATCAGCTTTTGTATACGAATTTATTCATATCAGCTTGTTTGTATAAGCAAACTGATGTGGCTGTGAAGGGGCAATATGTTTTGGATTTCTGTGGAATGTATGTGTCGGACGCGGCGAGCCGAAGCTCAGCCGTCGTGCGCCGAATTGGACGATGACGGTGGAATGAAGGAATAAGAATCTTGCGGCGGCGATGAGAAGAGATTGCGGAAGTGGATGATAGAAGGGATGTGCCAATGCAAAATTCCAGGCATTCGATGCTCCTTCGCATGGGCAGCTTTCGGCAGGAACACGGAACACATCTATCTTGGCATGAGGAAACAATCCCTACCACTCTGCAGGCGATTTCGCGAAATCAGACAACAGAAAACATTTCGCTCTTCTCAATTTTATGTACTGCAGCTGCCCAGAGCACGCTGCGCAGTTCGTTATAATCAATGCGCCGCATAGTTATGCGGTAGCTACTTCTATAGAAGTGCTCGTTTGAAGCAACTGTGCAGCACATCGAGCTGAATAGAGTTTTACTCATTATCGATGTTCCTTTACCCAGTTTCTTCCTCGGCAGGTTGCTCTCACATGCGGATTCGATCATCTGATGCCCTTGAGAAGACGTGATAGCGATTCTATATCCCCAAATATGCGCCTTTTTCATGCGCAGACCCCCGTAGAACCCACGATACGCATCACTGGAAACTACAGTTCACATATATCGCCGTACGTTGATGTACATGAACGGTTCATATTGCGATTCAGTTCCGTTCAAAAGCTGTTGCCGCTGCCTGTACACGACTTGATAATGTAAAATATGATTAAAGAAAAATAGAACTTTGTGTAGCCTATGTCTTTGCCAGCGGGAGGCGTGCGTGCATGTGGGCGCAACATCTGAACAACAACTTGGTTCTGAGAAACTGTGGGTGAACAAAACAATTGGATGGCGCAATACAGGCAGCAGCTGCAGGCGCTGCTCCAAGATAAGGCCCGCCTGCTGGG